TCAAAATAAAAGAGGTCATGCATTGCTGGAGTCTTTAAGTCTGGGCTGATAGAGTAAAACAGCAGAAACTAGTTATCATGAGATATGATTACTGGACAGTGTCAAGGTAGAACAGATATACATAATTAATCCATAACAGGTACTTTTATCTGTTGGTCAGACCACCTGTTCCAGGGAATTGCACCATGAACCCAGCAAAAATCAATGCCGTCTTGTTGTGTTTAAGTCTCAGTGGTTCAAACAGAATAAAAGCAGACGGTGTTAAAGACAGTAAACTTTAACTTCCTTAAGTACCTCAGTGTGCCATGCTTGTGTACAAACTCAGGGAAGTTCAGAGTGGAAACACTGATGTCCCAGGTCTTAACTCTTGGGTGGAGGTGGGGTGTCTCCACTGAGCTTCGACCAAACAACAGGTGACAAACATCCAGTGTGAAGTTCGTCTTAGGAAGCAAGTTTAACTACATCTCCTTTTAACTTGTGGTTACTTTACTGCAGACTATGACAGATTGTAAGCAAACAACAATTATATTGTCTGCCCAAAAAGATGCTCTGCAGCTGGAGGATAAACATCCTGTTGGGTTGGTTCGCTTTAACAGAACAGCCTTTCTGTTTGAAATGGTTCACATGACCACAGCGGTTGATGACGTGTTTGTTGAAGCCCAGCTTCAGCAGMCTGTTTGCTGCAATTTTTTTATTTGGTTTGTTTTAAATTAGACCATATTGCTTGTGTTAAAACTGAGAGTACTGAACTGAGCTGCACGAGACACATCAAACAACCTCTCGTGTTTACTTTGCAGAGGTTATCAGTGTTCGGAAGCCTCACATTGCGGACACGGACAATTCTGAATGGAACTTTTTAAAGTCAACAATCAATGTTGGCGTTAATCTGTGAGCCGCTTCAGGAGAGTCAGCAGAGTTGTTGCTGTTTTCACATCTTTTCTTCACTGAACCTTGAAGGTTGTTTGTCTACACCTATCCTAAGTCAGAATATATGCAAACTGTGTGCCAGCAGTTTGTAAATAACAGCTATTTTGTACTTTAAGCATGAAAACATATAAATCAGTGTATCTTAATCATGTTCAGCCCTCTGAATTGTTATCAAATCATGAGGCACCTAAAGATCCCTTCCCACATTACTTGGTAGCAAAAATTATAACTGGAAAAAAAATCCAGTCCAAGTGTGAATATTTTATCWAAGTGAAGTCCAACATTATCCGTTCACACACACACTTCCGTTCTTTGTGTAAAAAGAGAGTCTCATACCTCTGTTGATGATATAAACTAAAATCGATGTCAGACTCTGCCTGCGAGAAACAGAAACAAGCAAATCATATTTACAAAAAAAAAAACACACAAATCATCTATGTAGTGTTTCATTCAGCAGGTTAATTAGATGGTTTTAATTCAACGTGTGTGCGTGCGTGCATGCGTGCGTGCGTGTGTGGATGGATGGGTTTTTCCTACAACGTAGGTATTTTTTACAAAAAAAAAAACACACAAATCATCTATGTAGTGTTTCATTCAGCAGGTTAATTAGATGGTTTTAATTCAACGTGTGTGCGTGCGTGCATGCGTGCGTGCGTGTGTGGATGGATGGGTTTTTCCTACAACGTAGGTATTTTTTACAAAAAAAAAGCAGCCAGGTGGGGACCGAAGTGAATCGTGGGGACCTGACATTGGTCCCCACAGGTCCAAATGTATGTTAC